GTTGTAGTGTGTGTGTAGTGGTGTAGTAGTGTAGTAGTGTGTAGTGTGTGTGTAGTGGTGTAGTGGTGCAGTAATGTGTGTGTAGTGGTGTAGTAGTGTGTGTGTAGCGGTGTAGTAGTGTCGTAGTGTGTGTGTAGTGGTGTAGTAGTGTCGTAGTGTGTGCAGTGGAATAGTAGTGTTGTAGTGTGTGTGTGTGTAGTGGTGTAGTGTCGTAGTGTGTGTGTAGTGGTGTAGTAGTGTAGTAGTGTGTAGTGTGTGTGTAGTGGTGTAGTAGTGTGTGTGTAGTGGTGTAGTGGTGTAGTAGTGTGTGTGTAGCGGTGTAGTAGTGTCGTAGTGTGTGTGTAGTGGTGTAGTAGTGTCGTAGTGTGTGTGCAGTGGAATAGTAGTGTTGTAGTGTGTGTGTGTAGTGGTGTAGTAGTGTCGTAGTGTGTGTGTAGTGGTGTAGTAGTGTCGTAGTGTGTGTGTGTAGTGTTGAAGTGTGTGTGTAGTGGTGTAGTAGTGTTGTAGTGTGTGTGTAGTGGTGTAGTAGTGTCGTAGTGTGTGTGTAGTGGTGTAGTAGTGTCGTAGTGTGTCTGTAGTGTAGTAGTGTCGTAGTGTGTGTGTAGTGGTGTAGTAGTGTCGTAGTGTGTGTGTAGTGGTGTAGTAGTGTCGTAGTGTGTGTGTGTAGTGGTGTAGTAGTGTTGTAGTGTGTGTGTAGTGGTGTAGTAGTGTCGTAGTGTCGTAGTGTGTGTGTAGTGGTGTAGTAGTGTGTGTGTAGTGGTGTAGTAGTGTAGTAGTGTGTGTGTAGTGGTGTAGTAGTGTCGTAGTGTCATAGTGTGTGTAGTGGTGTAGTAGTGTTGTAGTGTGTGTGTAGTGGAATAGTAGTGTTGTAGTGTGTGTAGTGGTGTAGTAGTGTCGTAGTGTGTGTGTAGTGGTGTAGTAGTGTGTGTGTAGTGGTGTAGTAGTGTAGTAGTGTGTGTGTAGTGGTGTAGTAGTGTTGTAGTGTCATAGTGTGTGTAGTGGTGTAGTAATGTTGCAGTGTGTGTGTAGTGGAATAGTAGTGTTGTAGCGTGTGTAGTGGTGTAGTAGTGTCGTAGTGTGTGTGTAGTGGTGTAGTAGTGTCGTAGTGTGTGCAGTGGAATAGTAGTGTTGTAGTGTGTGTGTGTAGTGGTGTAGTGTCGTAGTGTGTGTGTAGTGGTGTAGTAGTGTAGTAGTGTGTAGTGTGTGTGTAGTGGTGTAGTGGTGTAGTAGTGTGTGTGTAGTGGTGTAGTGGTGTAGTAGTGTGTGTGTAGCAGTGTAGTAGTTGCGTAGTGTGTGTGTAGTGGTGTAGTAGTGTCGTAGTGTGTGTGCAGTGGAATAGTAGTGTTGTAGTGTGTGTGTGTAGTGGTGTAGTAGTGTCGTAGTGTGTGTGTAGTGGTGTAGTAGTGTCGTAGTGTGTGTGTGTAGTGTTGAAGTGTGTGTGTAGTGGTGTAGTAGTGTTGTAGTGTGTGTGTAGTGGTGTAGTAGTGTCGTAGTGTGTGTGTAGTGGTGTAGTATTGTCGTAGTGTGTGTGTAGTGGTGTGATAGTGTGTGTGTGTAGTGGTGTAGTATTGTCATAGTGTGTGTGTAGTGGTGTAGTGTGTGTGTGTAGTGGTGTAGTAGTGTCGTAGTGTGTGTGTAGTGGTGTAGTAGTGTCGTAGTGTGTGTGTAGTGTAGTAGTGTCGTAGTGTGTGTGTAGTGGTGTAGTAGTGTTGTAGTGTGTGTGTAGTGGTGTAGTAGTGTCGTAGTGTGTGTGTAGTGGTGTAGTAGTGTCGTAGTGTGTGTGTGTGTAGTAGTGTCGTAGTGTGTGTGTGTGTAGTAGTGTCGTAGTGTGTGTGTAGTGGTGTGGTAGTGTCGTAGTGTGTGTGTAGTGGTGTAGTAGTGGTGTAGTAGTGTTGTAGTGTGTGTGTAGTGGTGTAGTAGTGTAGTAGTGTGTAGTGTGTGTGTAGTGGTGTAGTGGTGCAGTAATGTGTGTGTAGTGGTGTAGTAGTGTGTGTGTAGCGGTGTAGTAGTGTCGTAGTGTGTGTGTAGTGGTGTAGTAGTGTCGTAGTGTGTGCAGTGGAATAGTAGTGTTGTAGTGTGTGTGTGTAGTGGTGTAGTGTCGTAGTGTGTGTGTAGTGGTGTAGTAGTGTAGTAGTGTGTAGTGTGTGTGTAGTGGTGTAGTGGTGTAGTAGTGTGTGTGTAGTGGTGTAGTGGTGTAGTAGTGTGTGTGTAGCGGTGTAGTAGTGTCGTAGTGTGTGTGTAGTGGTGTAGTAGTGTCGTAGTGTGTGTGCAGTGGAATAGTAGTGTTGTAGTGTGTGTGTGTAGTGGTGTAGTAGTGTCGTAGTGTGTGTGTAGTGGTGTAGTAGTGTCGTAGTGTGTGTGTGTAGTGTTTAAGTGTGTGTGTAGTGGTGTAGTAGTGTTGTAGTGTGTGTGTAGTGGTGTAGTAGTGTCGTAGTGTGTGTGTAGTGGTGTAGTAGTGTCGTAGTGTGTCTGTAGTGTAGTAGTGTCGTAGTGTGTGTGTAGTGGTGTAGTAGTGTCGTAGTGTGTATGTAGTGGTGTGGTAGTGTGTAGTGGTGTAGTAGTGTGTGTGTGTGTAGTGGTGTAGTCGTGTCGTAGTGTGTGTGTAGTGGTGTAGTAGTGTCATAGTGTGTGTGTGTAGTGGTGTAGTGTCGTAATGTGTGTGTAGTGGTGTAGTAGTGTCGTAGTGTGTGTATGTAGTGGTGTAGTAGTGTCGTAGTGTGTCTGTAGTGTAGTAGTGTCGTAGTGTGTGTGTAGTGGTGTAGTAGTGTCGTAGTGTGTGTGTCGTGGTGTAGTAGTGTCGTAGTGTGTGTGTAGTGGTGTAGTAGTGTCGTAGTGTGTGTGTAGTGGTGTAGTAGTGTCATAGTGTGTGTGTAGTGGTGTGGTAGTGTCGTAGTGTGTGTGTGTGGTGTAGTAGTGTCCTGTATAAGCAGTGTAGTGTGTATAGTGTATAGTGATGTCGTGTGTAAGTAGTATGTATGTCTAACTTTTTTCCCACCGTATGTAGCCATTCGTGCTAATCGGAGGTGTGGGGGAAGAACAACAAACTAACCACAAAAATAATTTCGAAAGAAATGAGTTCTCAATCGAGATGTTCTGAAAGTGCACAGCTCCAGTAGCTTCCTAATATCGGAAGAGCATTCCAGACGGCCGCAGAAGCGCACTTGAAGGCGAGCGATCCGGTGACCATTTTTGTTCTATGGCAGAGCCAAAGGGCGCTGCTGCTGCTGCTGCTGCGAGGATGACCGGAGTTTGTGTGATGGTTTATACTCCTTAACGAGATCAGCAAGGTATTTTAGTTCATATGTAGCAAGCACTTTGTGTGTAATGAGTACAACCTTATAACGTATCCGTTTGGCAACTGGATGCCAATGCAGCTCAGCGAGCACTGGCCGATCAAGATCTTGTGATGTCCCATGGTGGCCGGAGAGAAGGGAGATGCAGAATGGATACTACACCAAAGACAAAGATCCCTCGTGTAGCCTTAACATACTGCAGGGGCAAGTGGTTTTAAAGAGTGAGTAGCAGCGCCTGTGAAGGCCGGCACTGTGGCTCGTACGGTGCGAGAAGACGTTCAACATGCATGGGTGCCGGATAACAGAGCTTGTTTGTTGTAACACCAACACTTGATCTTTCAGTTACGACAAATCTTATCGTAAACCAATTCACATTGTAGTCTTCAGTTATCAGTGTAGTGTTATATTGCGGACACTTGTGATCTGCGTGTACGCCACGCGCTGCCCAACCTAATTTTGTTTCACTCTACTGTACATACAGGACTATACTACTGTACTCTGGTCATCCTCGCAGTAGCGGCCTGTGGCTGGCCAGCGAAAAAAGTCGGTCACTGCATCGGATGCCACTGGAGCTATGCACGTTTAGTTCATCATTCAGATTGAAAACTAATTTCTTTAGAACTGCTTTTTGTGTTTAGTTTGTTGTCCTTCCCCCACACCTCCGACAAGCACGGTTGGCTATGTACTGTGTGAAAGAAGTTCAACATTCATACGACTACACTACTATACACACCACTTAAATAAATATACCACGATACACTGCACTACAGCTGACCCCCGACTTCCTACGGCTCGACTTGCGACCCTCCGCTTTAACAACCTTTCTTATATAGGAATAGGTTTTACCCTTTTAACTGGCACAAAAAAAACTGACACCTTTATTCAAGGCGTCATGTCTGCAATAACCACAACACAAGCAGTCAAAATGCAAACAAAAGAGACAACTCTGATAATAATATGCACTGTCCTTGAATTTGATTGGTCCACACCCGAGACGGCTTTTCTTAGAGCCTAGTCTCCACTGACTGCTTGTGTTGTGGTTATTGCAAACATGATGCCTTGAATAAAGGTGTCAGTTTTTGTGCCAGTTAAAAGGGTAAAACCAATTACGATATCTTGTTACTGGCAAAGGAGGTCTCAAAATGTAAAAAAAACCTTTCTTATAGTAAGACCCCCAAAGTAACGATCAAAACTCGTATCTACGACTTAGGAAATGTTTGTAAAAGTTACGTTAAGTTACAATAAATGTTTTTTCGCGTTATTTTCATTTATTTTCGCGGTAAATTGGTATTTTTATGGTATTTAATGGGTTTCCAGGAACGGAACCGCAATGTATAACATTGCACCTATGGGAGATAAGGGTTTGACTTACGATGGCTCGTAGATGCGGGGGTCGCCTATACTATCCACTGTACCACTATAAACTGCTGTACACTACACTATACGCTACACCGTGTTTAGTTTGATGTCCTTCCCCTGCAGCTCCAATTACCACAGTTAGCGATATATGATGCCATCGAAGTTCAACACACACACACACACACTCGCGTACATTGCAGAGCTTTTTGCTGTAAAAAAAAAACAACGCCACTTCTTGTCCTTTTGGGCTATGACAAAAGATATATGATCGTAACCCCTTAACTAACGACAGCCACTATGACGTCGTCAATCAGTGGACGGCGGGGTGGACGGGCGAGAAAAGGATATCGGCCTTCAGGTCGAAGGTGACGAAGCCGAGGTCACTCTTGTCCCGCGGCCCCGTGAAGTCCTCCACGTTCTTCCTGCGTGTGCCGCAGATGCAAAGGTCAAGACAAAGATCCCCAACCCTCCCATCATCTCCCCCCCCCCACGCCCCACGCCGCTGCCCCCCAGGTGGCCGATGAGATGTTCAATCTCCTTTGGCCAGGTATGCAAGGAGGTTGTGGGTTCGATCCCAGAGCCTGACAACGACGATGCACTGCCGTATATTTGGAGTTTGCGTGTTTTGCTTGAGTGTGTCTGTGTCTCTGTGTGGGTCTCTCTGTATTATCTGAACTGGTAGTGGGCCTCCCCCAGGTCGACTCGGCCTAAAATGTGGACCTGGTGCGGTGTGTAAACATCGCCACTGGGGAAGACAAAGGTGGCCAGGCTTGGTGCTGGCCACCCACCCCCTCGTGTGCCGTGCCAGCTCGCTAACAGCACTTGCTCCAAGTCTCTTACGGCTATACGGGAGCTCTTTGTCTCTCCATGTGTCTCTGTGTGTGGTATACAGGAGGTTGGGGGATTTTGTGTTTGACTATGTCTCAAGAGTGGTGACGCTGCCTTCCCAAGGCTACCTAAACAACATCACAACACATGGCTCCGTTCACACGCATAGCTCACACAGCGCTCACACGTAGCCTTAACAAAATGCGGCGACAAGTTCCGTTAGCGCACAGCACAGTGGCGATGTTTACTACACACAGCACCAGATACTCATTTGAGGCTGAGGCGACCTCGGGGAGGCCCACGACTGGTTCAGGATAATCGTCCCTGGTGTTGGCTGAGAGTGGGAATGGAACTTGGGTCGCTAGGTTCATAGCGGAGCACGCTAACCGCTAAACATGCAGCTCACACTCACACACCAACAACCGCTGATTGCTACCTCTGCTGTAGCAGACGGATGGAGAATGAAGGCATCAGTGCAGGGCTGCCCCTGCCTGAAACCACAATGGGGCTCCGCAAGCCTTTACTCAGTATGTTGAATAATCCTTGTCGGGACCTTTCCCGGCACACGAAGGAAGGAGATGCCCCTGTAGCTGTTAGTCTGCAGTTCCCCTTCTTAAAGAGGGGGGGACCCTCCTTCCAATCCTGCGGAACCAGTCCAATGGTCCAGACAGTTGTGATGATGTCACATAGCGTAGCCTGCACACAAAGGCCACTCTCCCTCAGCAGTTCACTTGGGAGATCATCTGCCTGGAGCTGTTCCTGCTTTCAGACTCCGAATCACTTTCCGTACTTCCTCAACAAATGGCACCTCAGCCACTCACAGGAGGTGACTACTACTTCCAACATTTGAGGCACCGCAGCCTTAGCAGGGTCATCCTTCACTTTGCCCCATTATATTTTCTGAGGTGAGGGATTTCCCCTCCCCCAAGACCTCACAGAAATGCTCAGCTAATGGGGATTGGAGAATGGAACACGATTTTTTCCCCTAAGTTACTTTTTGGATGGAATTCGAAAGATTTCTGATCGCATGCTACCGAGGTAGACGATCTCCTCAGCAACCCGCGGCCATCACTCATCCTTGCTGCACCGCATGGTTCTCTGAACCTCTCAGCGAAAGCTGCGGCAAGCCTCTTCATCATTCACCGACATGGGATGCTGTAAATGGTGGGAGTGGGCAGCCATTGCAGCTGCATGAACCACAGTCCAGAACCTCAGCCATTTCCCCTCAACATCACGAGGGGATGGGGGACGATGCCACCCCAGCTGCAAGTGATGATGAAATTCTCGCTTGCAACTTTCTTCAGCTAGCTGAGACCAGGCTACTGTGGGTTTTAATGGAGTCTTAGATGAACACCTACCAGCGGAATGGAAGAATGGCAGGCGCGTCTTACTGATGACAAGCCAAAGGTCAGTGGACAGATTAGCTCCATGAGTAGGTCCTGGTGTCAAGGACATGGGCCCGCATCCGCTGTTCCATCACTATATAGTCCAGCAGATGTTCTTGCTTGGACCCAGCATGCATCCGTGATGTTGTGTGGATGTGCCAATGGCAGAACAGTGCGTTGGTAATTACAAGCCCATGGAATGCATATAAGTCTAGCAGCCTCCGACCGCTATATTGAGCTAATCTGGCCCATGCCTTCCAATCACTCCAGCCCAGATGTCTGTGTCATGACCGACTTGGGCATGAAGGTCACACAACAGGATGACTCTATCCAGAGGGGACATTCTGGCCAACACCTGGGACAGGTAATAGAAGGCATCTGACTCATCGGCCTTGCCTGCATCCCTCCACTGATGTTCATCATCTCTGGGGGCGTGAGCAACCACCACCATTCCTTGCCTCTTCTTGATAGGGAAGCAGGCCCACAGCAGTCTGGGGCTTACAGTTTCCCACACCTCACTGCCATGCTCCAACACCACCCCCTTCATTATTTTGTTCAGAAGAAGAGTCCCTCCCTTTTGTTTGGCAGTTTCCTGCTCCGAATAGAGGACTGTCCACCCCTCAATGATTGGAGCCGGAAACAGTCCATTGGACCTCCTGGTTACGACAGATCCAGGCGGTATCGGTCCAGCGACTAAACAGAGGAGAGGCAGCCTCTCCTCCACAGAGAGCGTTCTAACATTCCACGTGGCCACTCGCAGTGGCTTTTTGCCGTTTCTGGAGGGTGCAGGTTCAGCCTCTTGGCTCTGCCAAATGGGGTTTGGTCGAGGAGAAGTTATAGAGACCCCCACAGGGCCTACGGCACAAGCTTAGTTCGATATATTCTTCATGGTGCCGTGGTATTAGAATTGAAGGTGGAGGGGTTAACCAGCCCCTCGCACCTGTCCAGATCCCCCTTTGACCGCTGTGGTGGCTACGAGCGCCATGAGGGGAACCAAATTGTAATCGGCATTGCTCACAGCCACGACGGCATTACCGACCGGCACACCACCACCACCACAGCCAAAGCGTTACCGACCGGCAACCACTGAGGAACTGGGAGTTTAAGGCCGGACTACCGCTCCCCAAGTACACACACACCAAGACCAATACCCGCCATTTGCCACTAAATGATGGTGACGTCACGACGGCACCTGTGCCAGGCCAGGTGCACGCGCATTGATGATGCTGCCGACTGCGTAAAGATGGTTTTGCTGACAAAGATGCTGATGATTCTGATTCTGCAATGAGTATGATGCCGATGATGATGATGATGCTGAGTACTTTAATGTTAGCGATGAAGATACTAATAATGATGCTACTGCCGATGATGATGATGATGCGGAGTACGTTAATTCCAGGAGGCGGTACAGCAAAGTGTGGACTAATCTCCATCAGTTCCACATTCCCTCTAACCAGTGGGTGGAAGTTGAGAAGGGGCCGTACCCCTGGCTCTGCCAGGAGAAGGTGGCACAGCAAAGTGTGTGGACTATGATGCTGCTGATGATGCTCATGTTGATTACGCTGCTGATGATGCTCATGTTGCTTACGCTGCTGCTGATGAAGCTGCTGATGTTGATGATGCTGCTGATGTTGATTACGCTGCTGCTGATGCTGCTGATGATGCTCATGTTGATTACGCTGCTGCTGATGATGCTGCTCATGTTGATTACGCTGCTGATGATGCTGCTGATGTTGATGAAGCTGCTGATGTTGATGAAGCTGCTGCTGATGATGCTCATGTTGATTACGCTGCTGCTGATGAAGCTGCTGATGTTGATGATGCTGCTGCTGCTGATGTTGATGATGATGCTGCTGCTGATGCTGCTGATGTTGATGAAACTGCTGCTGATGAAGCTGCAGCTGCTGATGAAGCTGATGAAGCTGCTGCTGATGCTACTGATGATTCTACTGATAAAGTTGCTGATGATGCTACTGATGAAGCTGCTGCTGATGCTACTGATGAAGCTGCTGCTGATGCTACTGATGATGCTACTGATGAAGCTGCTGCTGATGCTACTGATGAAGCTGCTGATGATGCTACTGATGAAGCTGCTGATGAAGCTGCTGCTGATGCTACTGATGTTGGTACGCACACGAGCACGGAGGTGATGGCGATGCCCAGTGGCTCGGGGAGCGGCTGCTGCTGGCGGTAGGCGGTGCTGGCGAAGCAGAGCAGCGTCACGCTCGCCATGACGGTGAGAGTGAACGCAAAGAGAGCGTTCAGCCGGGACAGCAGAGTGTTCATCCTGACACACAGAGACACACGGTGAGCGTGAACACAGTGTTCATCCTGACACACAGAGACACACGGTGAGCGTGAACACAGAGTGTTCATCCTGACACACAGAGAGACACGGTGAGCGTGAACACAGAGAGTGTTCATCCTGACACACAGAGACACGCGGTGAGCGTGAACACAGTGTTCATCCTGACACACAGAGACACACGGTGAGCGTGAACACAGAGTGTTCATCCTGACACACAGAGACACGCGGTGAGCGTGAACACAGTGTTCATCCTGACACACAGAGACACGCGGTGAGCGTGAACACAGTGTTCATCCTGACACACAGAGACACACAGTGAGCGTGAACACAGAGAGAGTGTTCATCCTGACACACAGAGACACGCGGTGAGCGTGAACACAGAGTGTTCATCCTGACACACAGAGACACACGGTGAGCGTGAACACAGAGTGTTCATCCTGACACACAGAGACACACGGTGAGCGTGAACACAGAGAGTGTTCATCCTGACACACAGAGACACGCGGTGAGCGTGAACACAGTGTTCATCCTGACACACAGAGACACACGGTGAGCGTGAACACAGTGTTCATCCTGACACACAGAGACACGCGGTGAGCGTGAACACAGTGTTCATCCTGACACACAGAGACACGCAGTGAGCGTGAACACAGTGTTCATCCTGACACACAGAGACACGCGGTGAGCGTGAACAGTGTTCATCCTGACACACAGAGACACACGGTGAGCGTGAACACAGAGTGTTCATCCTGACACACAGAGACACGCGGTGAGCGTGAACACAGAGAGAGTGTTCATCCTGACACACAGAGACACACGGTGAGCGTGAACACAGAGTGTTCATCCTGACACAGAGACACGCGGTGAGCGTGAACACAGTGTTCATCCTGACACACAGAGACACACGGTGAGCGTGAACACAGAGAGAGTGTTCATCCTGACACACAGAGACACACGGTGAGCGTGAACACAGAGACAGTGTTCATCCTGACACACAAAGACACGGTGAGCGTGAACACAGTGTTCATCCTGACACACAGAGACACACGGTGAGCGTGAACACAGAGTGTTCATCCTGACACACAGAGACACACGGTGAGCGTGAACACAGTGTTCACCCTGACACACAGAGACACCCGGTGAGCGTGAACACAGTGTTCATCCTGACACACAGAGACACGGTGAGCGTGAACACAGAGTGTTCATCCTGACACACAGAGACACACGGTGAGCGTGAACACAGAGAGAGTGTTCATCGTGACACACAGAGAGACACGGTGAGCGTGAACACAGCGTGTTCATCCTGACACACAGAGACACGCGGTGAGCGTGAACACAGAGTGTTCATCCTGACACACAGAGACACGGTGAGCGTGAACAGTGTTCATCCTGACACACAAAGACACGGTGAGCGTGAACACAGTGTTCATCCTGACACACAGAGACACACGGTGAGTGTGAACACAGTGTTCATCCTGACACACAGAGACACGGTGAGCGTGAACACAGTGTTCATCCTGACACAGAGACACACGGTGAGCGTGAACACAGAGTGTTCATCCCGACACACAGAGACACACGGTGAGCGTGAACACAGAGAGAGTGTTCATCCTGACACACAGAGACACACGGTGAGCGTGAACACATTGTTCATCCTGACACACAGACACACGGTGAGCGTGAACAGTGTTCATCCTGACACACAGAGACACACGGTGAGCGTGAACACATTGTTCATCCTGACACACAGACACACGGTGAGCGTGAACAGTGTTCATCCTGACACACAAAGACACGGTGAGCGTGAACACAGTGTTCATCCTGACACACAGAGACACACGGTGAGCGTGAACACAGAGAGAGTGTTCATCCTGACACACAGAGACACACGGTGAGCGTGAACACAGAGAGAGTGTTCATCCTGACACACAGAGACACACGGTGAGCGTGAACACAGAGTGTTCATCCTGACACACAGAGACACGGTGAGCGTGAACACAGTGTTCATCCTGACACAGAGACACGGTGAGCGTGAACACAGAGAGAGTGTTCATCCTGACACACAGAGACACGCGGTGAGCGTGAACACAGTGTTCATCCTGACACACACAGACACACGGTGAGCGTGAACGCAGAGTGTTCATCCTGACACACAGAGACACACGGTGAGCGTGAACACAGTGTTCACCCTGACACACAGAGACACCCGGTGAGCGTGAACACAGTGTTCATCCTGACACACAGAGACACGGTGAGCGTGAACAGAGTGTTCATCCTGACACACAGAGACACACGGTGAGCGTGAACACAGAGAGAGTGTTCATCGTGACACACAGAGAGACACGGTGAGCGTGAACACAGCGTGTTCATCCTGACACACAGAGACACGCGGTGAGCGTGAACACAGTGTTCATCCTGACACACAGAGACACGGTGAGCGTGAACAGTGTTCATCCTGACACACAGAGACACGGTGAGCGTGAACACACAGTGTTCATCCTGACACACAGAGACACGCGGTGAGCGTGAACACAGAGTGTTCATCCTGACACACAGAGACACACGGTGAGCGTGAACACAGTGTTCATCCTGACACACAGAGAGACACGGTGAGCGTGAACAGTGTTCATCCTGACACACAGAGACACGCGGTGAGCGTGAACACAGAGTGTTCACCCTGACACAGAGACACACGGTGAGCGTGAACACAGAGTGTTCACCCTGACACACAGAGACACACGGTGAGCGTGAACACAGTGTTCATCCTGACACAGAGACACACGGTGAGCGTGAACACATTGTTCATCCTGACACACAGAGACACGGTGAGCGTGAACACAGAGAGAGTGTTCATCCTGACACAGAGACACACGGTGAGCGTGAACACAGTGTTCATCCTGACACACAGATACACACGGTGAGCGTGAACACAGTGTTCACCCTGACACACAGAGAAACACGGTGAGCGTGAACACAGAGTGTTCATCCTGACACACAGACACACACGGTGAGCGTGAACACAGAGTGTTCATCCTGACACACAGAGACACACGGTGAGCGTGAACACAGAATGTTCATCCTGACACACACAGAGACACACATAGAGTGTTCATCCTGACACACAGAGACACACGGTGAGCGTGAACACAGAGTTCATCCTGACACACAGAGACACACGGTGAGCGTGAACACAGAGTGTTCATCCTGACACACAGAGACACACGGTGAGCGTGAACACAGAGTGTTCATCCTGACACACAGAGACACACGGTGAGCGTGAACACAGTGTTCATCCTGACACACAGATACACACGGTGAGCGTGAACACAGTGTTCACCCTGACACACAGAGAAACACGGTGAGCGTGAACACAGAGTGTTCATCCTGACACACAGAGACACACGGTGAGCGTGAACACAGAGTGTTCATCCTGACACACAGAGACACACGGTGAGTGTGAACACAGTGTTCATCCTGACACACAGAGACAATGATGGTGGTGGCGATAGTGGTGGTGATAATGGTGGTGATGGTGGTGATAATGGTGGTGATGGTGGTGATAATGGTGGTGATGGTGGTGATAATGGTGATAATGGTGGTGATGGTGATAATGGTGGTGGTGGTGATGATGATGGTGATAATGGTGGTGATGGTAGTGATGATGATGGTGGTGATGGTGATAATGGTGGTGGTGATGATGGTGATAATGGTGGTGATAATGATGGTGGTGATGGTGGTGATGATGGTCTTGGTGGTGATGGTGATAATGATGGTGATGATGGTGGTGATAATGGTGGTGATAATGATGGTGGTGATGATGGTGATGATGGTGGTGATGATGGTGATGATGGTGGTGATAATGGTGGTGATAATGGTGGTGATAATGATGGTGGTGATGATGGTGGTGGTGATGGTGATGATGGTGGTGGTGATGATGATGGTCGTGGTGGTGATGGTGATGATGGTCGTGGTGGTGATGGTGGTGGTGATGGTGGTGATGATGGTGGTGGTGATGATGGTGATAATGGTGGTGGTGATAATGGTGGTGGTGGTGATGATGGTGGTGGTGATGGTGGTGATGATGGTGATGATGGTGGTGGTGATGATGGTGATAATGGTGGTGGTGATAATGGTGGTGGTGGTGATGATGGTGGTGGTGATGGTGGTGGTGATAATGGTGGTGGTGATGGTGGTGGTGATGGTGGTGGTGATAATGGTGGTGGTGATGGTGGTGGTTGATGCTGAATGGTCTCGAGTCTCACTCACCCTGCGGTTCGCTAAAAACTCTCCGGATGTCTGTGTCTGTCTGTCTCTGCCTCTGTCTGTGTCTGCCTCTGCCTGTCTGTCTCTGCCTCTGCCTGTCTGTGTCTGTCTGCCTCTGTCTGTCTGTGTCTGTCTGCCTCTGTCTGTCTCTGTCTGTCTGTCTGTGTCTGCCTCTGTCTGATGCCAGAGCAGAGAGGAAACCCCTGCAGATTCCACGCGCCTGTGGATCGAATCGTAGCGGGTGGAAAAGTCGCAGTTCCGTCGGCTCGCGATTCCGCGGCTATGGAGATTTGAATGAAATTAGTGAGTCGCGATTACCTGTGTCGCGATTTTACGCTGGCGATTCCATTGACTTCCTCTCCTCCCCACCCCCCATTCCCCCAGTAACTTCCGCCCCCTCTCTCCTCCCCCCCAGTAACTTCCGGCCCCGCCCCCCTCTCCCCTCACCGGAAGTCGACCTGGTTAAAGAACGCCGATACCAACCTGTACAGAAGTACTTACACTCAGCTTTAAACTCACATTCATTCGTAATTAGAACTACGCAAAATACTACGAAACATTCTTTATTGTCTTATCAGGTTGTTTTACGGTTTAATGCAAAAAAATATATAACTGGACGGAAATTCTTATTAAAGTTTTAAAGCGACGTTGCACCTATGGGAGACTTGTGAGGGACTCGTCGACTCGTGAGGGACTCGTGAGAGGGACTCGTCGACTTGTAAGAGGGACTCGTGAGGCACTTGTGAGAGGGACTCGTGAGGGACTTGTGAGAGGGACTCGTGAGGGACTTGTGAGAGGGACTCGTGAGGGACTTGTGAGAGGGACTCGTGAGGGACTTGTGAGAGGGACTCGTGAGAGGGACTCGTGTGAGGGACTTGTCGTCAGGGACTTGTGTGAGGGACTTGTGTGAGGGACTCGTCAGGGACTTGTCGTCGGGGACTCGTGAGGGGGACTCGTGAGGGACTCGTGAGGCACTTGTGAGAGGGACTCGTGAGGCACTTGTCGTCAGGGACTTTGTTTTGTTTTGGGGGAAGGAGAGGCCCCAACCGTTCGCCGTTTGAATTTAAGGAGCCAATCAGCGCGCGGGGGGTGCGTCGCCATGGAGACGGCGTGAGGCCGAGAGGGGGGGAGGGGCGTCAGTGTGTCTCCATGGAGACAGCGGTGCGAGTAGGGGTGTGAGTGCGTCACCATGGAGACGGTGGGGTCGGGGGTGTGGGTGCGTCGCCATGGAGACGGTGGGGTCGGGGGTGTGAGTGCGTCACCATGGAGACGGTGGGGTCGGGGCTGTGAGTGCGTCACCATGGAGACGGTGGGGTCGGGGGTGTGGGTGCGTCACCATGGAGACGGTGGGGTCGGGGGTGTGAGTGCGTCGCCATGGAGACGGCGGGGTGTGAGTGCGTCGCCATGGAGACGGCAGGGTGGGGGTGTGAGTGCGTCGCCATGGAGACGGCGGGGTGGGGGTTCCCGCGGTGGACCCCGCGCTGTGGCCGAGCAGGGGGAGCGAGGGAACGTTGGCGAGAACTTCGACTCGTCTCGCCAGCCACAGGGCCATCGCCCGAAACGTCGCCTTAGTTATACACAGACGACACGCGCGTGTCGACCGTTCACGCACAACCAGAGTTGTTGGCGGAGGCGTTTGTTTGAGGATCCGGTAGGGTTGTGTTTCTGTGTTCGTGAGAGTGTCTCAAGGTCGGCTCAGCCTTAAACGAGTGCCCGGCGTAGTGGCGTGTGTCTATATTCTTGGTTCTTTCGGTAAAGTCACGTGTCTAGTTAAACATCGCCACTTGGGAGAGACAAAGGCGGCCGAGCGGGCGTGATGTTGGCCACCCACCCCCCTTCGCGTGCCACTGTGCCGGCCTTAACAGGCGCTGCTGCTACTCGCCACTACTAACAGCACTTGCCCCAACAGTCTGTTAGAGGCTACACGGGGGGAGCTTTGTCTGTGTGTAGATTGTGTAGCTGTGTGTAGATTGTGTAGCTGTGTGTGTATAAGGGTGAGTGGGTGGGTGATTTAAGGGAGCGGTGGCGCAGCGGTTAGCACGCTGCACTACGAACCCGGCGACCCGGGTTCGATTCCCGCTAACGGCCACCAACATCAGTGACGATTATCTGAACCGGTCCCGGGCCTCCCCTAGGTCGACTCAGCCTCAAATTAGTACCTGGTGCGGTGTGTAAACATCGCCACTAGGGAGACAAAGGCGGTGGGCGTGGTGCTGGCCACCCACCCCCTCGTGTACCGTTCCGGCCTTCATAGGTGCTCGCTAACAGCACTTGCCCCTACAGTCTGTTAAGGCTATATGGGGGATCTTTGTTTTGTTTTTGTGTGAGGTGAGTTAGGGGAGCGGTGGCGCAGTGGTTAGCACGGTGCGCTCCGAACCCGATATTCTGTGTGTCTATCTCTGTGTGTGTATGCATCTCTGTGTCAGTCTCTCTGTATCTGTATGTATTTTGAACTTCTGCATCTCTGTATCTATCTCTCTGTGTGCATCTCTGTGTCTATATATGTGTGTATCTCTATCTTTGTATGCGTGCGTCTCTCTGTGTGCATCTCTCTGTGTGTGTATCTCTCTCTGCCCCAGTATCTCTGGGTATGGAGATGCCGGGTGGCGTGCGAGGCTCCTCGCGTGACCTCGAGTCCCAAGCGGAGCTCCGAGAGCGCCTCTACTCAGCCTTCAAGAGCCGAGGCCTCCTCACTTCGCTAAAGGTGACTCGCATAGACACACACAGACACACATAGACACACAGACACACATAGACACACTGATACACATAGATACACACAGACACACATACAGACACTTGACATACTGATACACATAGACACACTGATACACAGACACACACAGACACACATAGACACACTGATACACATAGACGCACACAGACACACATAGACACACAGACATACATACAGACACACAGACACTAGACACACATAGACACACACAGACACACTGATACACACACACACAGACACACACAGACACACATAGACACACTGATACACATAGACACACACAGACACACATATAGACACACAGACATAAATACAGACACTAGACACACATAGATACACACAGACACACATAGACACACATAGACACACTGATACACGGACGCACAGACACACATAGATACACAGACACACCAGACACACGAGACACACTGATACACGCGCAGACATACAGACACACACGTAGATACACACTCACACAGACAGATACACGTGTAGATATACACACAGATACATATACAGACTGACAGACACAAAGACTTACACACAGACTCACACACACATAGATACACATAGACACAGACTCAATGTGACTCCTCGCACACTCACAGAGACAAAGGGCCCCCCCGGGTAGCCTGGCCAGACTGTCGGGGCAAGTGCTATGTGTGTCTGTGTCTTTACGCGATCAATATATATTTTGCACGTGGTTTCAACAGAGGTCTCACTCTGAATCTGTTGTATATATAGGTGTTATGAAAATTGATGAAAATAATGAAAATTAAATGAAATTTGAGATGTGCATAATTTATCCGAAATTATGTTAATTAGTGTAATTATGTGCATAAATTATGCTTATTCGAGAGATAATCGTATTAATTTATGCGAGTGGGCGTGGTTAGGATAATGCAGGTCGTAATGGATTATCAGGTCGAGCCTCGGTGACTAGGATTGTGTTATGAATTGGAATGACGCAATTAGTCGTATGCAGTGACGCAGGCGTTGTGATCGTGAATGAGAGAGAGTCGATTCGACTCTGCTCTTTAATTCCGTATTATCGATAAGGATACGATTACTCTCGATTGAACATTACGAATTATGCGTGTTATGGATTATGTGTGGTGATAGTGTGCTTATGATAGGTCCCCAGGATTCAGATCTCATACGCAGAACAATATTATGCAGAATTTCAGGAAGAATCACACACAAACCTTCTGCTTTAATCAATTTTATTTCTAGCTAACTTAAATTTTTGGATAATATGAAAACTCAATCTCGGGATTTTGGAATTTCAACACAGCGTTAACATGATACCTTCACGATTGCGTTGTTTCACCTCGATAGCGGCACCTGTGGTTAATTCCCGACGCGTAACGCAATCGATCGGTTGTTGAGAGAGGGAGATTAAAAACATGCGAACTATTCTATCAAACCTTAACTTTATAATATGCAAACTCGTATGCTTGAATTGTTACACAACACGGCACTTGGTCTTTGATTCGTATCCAATCCTTAATACATTCTGATATACGAAGTTATTATGCTTGAAATCGTCAGCACAGTACCACGTTGATGTTCGTTCATTGATTCATAACGATTATGAATTTAAAGCGTTCGACTGAAATACTTCGAATTGCCTTATCAACACCACTCGATGGCCACAATGCTTCGTTACTTGAATTGTCACACAACACAGCATTCGGTCATTGATCATGCGCGGCCCTTAATGCAATTATTGTCACGTTGTTCACAATAGGATGACGGATTATTATGCAACGCTACTCGTTGACAGGGCACTCCAACCAGTATTATTCTTGGAGGCACAAATATGCGTTTCAATTCGTTATTTCATTCGTGGATACCAGCAAGATTATGCAGAAAGACAAATATTAACGAACGACTCAAGTATTTCTAATCAACTTCTCAACGCGACTCAATGGGTGGCGATGTTTCCTTTTGATATCCTTATCTCGGGCCAATCTTTTAATTAATTGTGGCCAGACCCCTGACAGGGAACCGGTTGAACCCGCTCTTCAACCCCGCGAGCGGCGCTCCGTGGTGAGGAGTCAAGAATTAATCCTTGTTAATGGGTCAGTTGGTAATTTATGCGGTTAGAAGTACAGCCCCAGCACAATATTACAGAGAAAAATTATGAACACTCTTAAAAACGATGGATTATTCACTCGGTCGTTGCGATGTTTCCACAATCACGGATGGTTCAATGGCTTGAGGTTTTTAGGCTTTGTTAATGACCCGTGTGTGTGTGTTGAATGGTATGAGTGGTGAAAGAGTAGGCCAATGTTCGGAATCGATTCTTTGCGTCAAGCAAACGTCTGGTTTGTCGTGTAGTGGGGGGCAGTGTATCATACGTATCAGTTGATTCTTCTTTCAGTAGTTGGTTCGGACTCGACGGACGTTGGTGAACGAGTTGATACGTTGTTGTAGCTGAGATGACCGTCTGGTAGACGGCGTTAGAAGCACGCCCGCAGCGGCGCGCTGGTGCTCCGTCGTCGGCGGTTGTAGATTGCAGGCTCACGATTCGCTCGTGGTGGCGCTGGCCGCTAACAGCGGCAGCGGGTCGCCAATCGGCGACACTCGCCAATTCGGCGAGTTGTAGAGACGGCTCCGGCGTCGGTGATGGCTGTTCTTCTGCTGAGATGAGTTGAGCGGGTCTTCTGCTGAGATGAGTAGAGATGAGTCTTCTTCTGTTGAGCTGAGTTGAGATGAGTCTTCTTCTGTTGAGCTGAGTTGAGATGAGTCTTATTCTGTTGAGCTGCCCCCGAGGGCTGATGAGTTGATTTCAATGCTGAAACGGCTCCTTTTTATGCCAAAAATCTCTCCCCTTCTCGGCTCCCCCTCACGAGGTGGAGCTATCTTTGATCTGATCGTATGTCGGTGGGGGGGGTTCGTGTGTCGGTGGTGGGGGGGTTCGTGTGTCAGTGTGTATGTTTGTGTGTGTGTCATTTATGACATGGTCCTGTTCGGGTCTTTCCTCAAGCCATAAACATCAAGACAACAGACACCTCGATTCATCTCGGTGGCGTCTGGTTGTCTGATCCCTCCACCCAGAGAGAGGGGCGGGTCCCCCCCGGGTCCCCCCCCCCCCCTTTTCCGTTCGCGTTCCGACGCACAAAGAAATGGTTAAGATTTTTTTTAAGTTTAACATTTCACATCACAGTTGGTATCTTATCATACACAGTTATGATCCTGCTTATGATTCATAGTATTTGATTTATTTCCAAGTGAAGATGCTCTTCCGAGCGTATGCATTTTATCACGTGCTGCAGGGAAAGACAAAGGTGGCCGGGATCTTCCCATCTCTCTATACTTTGCAAATATCATTTCGACTCCACATTCTACCAGCCTAATCCACCCCGTTACCTTGGCTCTTACTTAGTTTATTAATTTTCGTCACTTTGTGCGTTTATAAATGTGTGACAGTTTAACTTAAAGCTCGCTCGCTCTTTTGCTGCCCTTGTGCAGGGTGGGGTGGGGCTGCTACTAAGTTCCGTGTGTGGCAGATGGTCCCCGCGATAACGATCTGGTTGCCCTGGCGTGAAATTCCTCTCTCGCGCTCTTCGGGAGAGACAAAGGTGGTCGGGAGAGACAAAGGTGGTCGGGAGCACCTCTTTATACTTTCGACTTATATTTCTCAAATACCATTTGGTCCCATGTTCGCCAAGACTCGTGTTTGTAACTACGTCTTCCCGACACCTCTCGGTTTTCCCGAGGTTCGAATTGTTATGATGGAAATATTAAAAAGAAAAATAATTATCATCCTGAGTTTAAGAGGTCCATTTCTTGATTGTTGGAATCCATATCCCTTGGTTCTGTAAGGTTCTATAATGGAATGTCGTGTAAGGTTAACACGTTATTATTAATATTATTTTGCAATTTCTTTAAAACTTTCTTTGCCTGGTTGCCGTGTGTGGGGTGGGTGTGTCTCCTCATCAAACCCGGCTGGCTTTTCCAGATGGCCCCTTGTGATAAGGTGTAATTCCTGCTTCTCCGCGCTGTGAGAGAGACAAAGGTGGTCGGGGTTGCTTGGAATATTGTTTAAACTCTTTCGCAAGTTTGCTCGTTGTCTCATTCCTTCTCGATAACCTTTGATGTGACTCGGTATTCTTGCTCCAAGCTTTGTTTTAACAGTAAAAGTATTAAAGGTGAAAATCATTTGATAGCGAATTAATCATTGGATAATAATTCACTGATGTGTCTGGTGGCCTGTTCTTAATTGGAGTGAGCGTTAGGATCGCTAATTTTATCTTATTCTTGTTGTTGCCTTTTAATTTTTTTGTTGTTTTACTGGAAAATAAGGAAAAGAATATGTATACGATTTACCCTGTTGGCGTCTGGTGTCTGCTCTCTTGGTGTTCTGACCTCGGAGGGACCTTTCCTAAGGGGCCCATCAAACTCTTGTTCATCTGGAGATTTTCGCCGATAGCTGTTACATCCTCGCCTTGAGAGTTTTATTATTTCTTTATATCTCTATATGGCCTGTTTATGACCGACACCTGGTTTTTCGTGTTTCTGGCTTACGGGTTTGATTCATTAAAAAATATATATTGTTTGTCACGAAAGAAAGGAAAAAGAAATCTAGGTGTATGCATCCGTAAATATTCTTATGGATATTAATTGTGGAAAAAGGGCCGTATACAACAAATCCGTTGATCGGTATCTTTCCATCGGCTATGTAATGCTGTGTGGAAGCTACCTGGTCTGTCGCTCCACACAAAGCTCCGGGTCTTCTCGGCCACATTCATGCCCTCCCTTTGCTATGCTTGTGAAACGTGGACCCCTCTAATGGAACATCTGCGTGAGTTAGAAGCATTCAAGCTGGCCCTGCCTACGATCATCCATCCTGAGTTTAACCACACGGCTGGATTGTGTGAGGAGGTCACAAATCGTTGAAAGATCTGGACACAGTCCCATCGGTAAACTCCTCCGGCAGACAAGGCTGCATTGGCTGGGTCACATAGCTCGCATGCCAAGCAACCGCATACCCCAACAGTTTTTATTCGGCCAGATAGAGGGGGTGAAATGGGCGTGGCACGGGCTTGAGAAGAGATGGAGTTGATGAGGTATGGGAGGTTTTGGAGCTGAGTGGACTTGCTGATGACCGGTACCAGAGGTGTCAAGATCGGCCTCTGTGGAGGAGGCTCGTAAAGGACGCTACTTCTGGGCAGTTGGAAGCAGTCGCCCTCCAACAACAACGGAGGGGGCGGAGGAGCGACGCTCACAACAACGAGCGGAGCGCCGGGCAGCTAAAACACAGCAAGTTGGCACAGTAGGGGGCACAGGTGGTGCATCTGCCAATCATCTCAGTCAGTCAACCCATGGCACCTGGGTCTGTCCCGTGATCTCTTGCGAGCGAGCGTTCGACACTTCACGTGGCCTCAGGGTGCACATAGCCTGGCACAGGCGTTGTGGTGACATCTGGAATATTTTTGCTGTTTTTTCCTGGATTTTCTGTTTGCACAGTCACATAGTCACTTGAAGTTATTTTCTTTTTCGTGTTATTGTTTGTTTGTTTGTTGTGGTTGCACCCGATTCCAGAGCCGAATGGCTCACAGGGCTATACCAAATAAATGAAACTCAAAACTGAAACTGAATGGCGAACGGTGGATCTTGGTATTGGTGTGTGATGCGAGACAGATCCATGTGCGGGCCGCGCTGTCCGAGAGCTGCGTGTGTATCTGTGTGTCTGTGCATGTGGTGTGAGACAGACCCATGTGCGAGACCGTGTCGTCCGTGAGCTGCGCTGTCCAGGCGAGTCGAAGGCTCCTCCGGGCCTGGTGGAGAGTGCCGCTCTGAGCCTCGTGGCTCAGCATCTGGGGGCCACGGCCTGCGAGTACTCGCTGTGCCTCCTGTACCCAGAGAGTGGCCTGCAACCCCACGCGGTCACTTACTCACTCAGCTACTCACTCACTCAGCGACTCACTCACTCAGATACTCAATCATTCAGCTACTCACTAAGCTACTCACTCAGCTACTCACTCACTCAACTACTCACTCAGTTACTCAGCTACTCACTCAGCGACTCACTCGCGCAGCTCCTCACTCGCTGAGCTACTCACTCACTCAGCTACTCACTCACTCAGCTACTCAATCACTCAGATACTCACTCAGCTACTCACTCGCTCAACTACTCACTCAGTTACTCAGCTACTCACTCAGCGACTCACTCGCTCAGCTCCTCACTCGCTGAGCTACTCACTCAGCTTCTCACTCACTCAGCTACGCAATCACTCAGCTACTCACTCAGTTACTCAGCTACTTTCTCAGCTACTCACTCAGCTACTCAATCACTCAGCTACTCACTCACTCAGCTACTCACTCAGCTACTCACTCAGCTACTCAATCACTCAGCTACTCACTCACTCAACTACTCACTCAGTTACTCAGCTACTTACTCAGTTACTCACTCAGCTACTCACTCAGCTACTCACTCACTCAGCTACTCACTCAGCTACTCACTCACTCGGCTACTCACTTACTCAGTCACTCAGTTATTCACTCACTCAGCTTCTGATGTTGATGGTGTTGATGGTGGTGATGTTGCTGGTGATAGTGTTGATGGTGGTGGTGATGATAAGTGATGTTGATGGTGACATAGGTGATGGTATTGATGGTGGTGATGGTGGTGATGATGCTGATGTTGTTTTCGCCACAGGTATTGAAGCCGGAGGAGGTTCTGCGGGTTCTAGGTTTAAGCTCGGAGCGCTGGGCAGCACGGACAGTAAGAACACAGACAGACAAATGCACATACACACAGACACACATACACACAAAGATAAAGATCCCCCATATAGCCTTAACAGACTGTAGGGGCAAGTGCTGTTAGCAAGCACCTATGAAGGCCGGTAACGGTACACGAGGGGGTGGGTGGTCAGCACCATGCCCGCCCGGCCACCTTTGTTTTCCCAGTGACGATGTTTACATACCGTACTAGGTATTTGTTTGGGACTGAGTCGACCTAAGGGAGGCCCCAGATAATCGCAATCACTGGTATAAGTCAAGGCCATGAGTGGGAATTGAACTCGGGCCTCCACCGGGTTCGTAGCGCAGCGTATAGATTTATCACGTGTACAGTATCGTTATAAAGGCTGTTAACAATAGCCCAACGAAGCCTATGAGCATACCGCTCATAGCTGAAAAAGGGCGCTGTCGGTAACCCATGTCCATTGGGGCCATTTATAGTGACCTATAGTGCTGTTTTGTTACAGCGCTGTTGGTAACGCATCTCCATTGGAACCATGTTATAGTGACCTTCTATAGCGCTGTTTCGTTACAGCGCTGTTGGTAACGCATCTCCATTGGAACCATGTTATAGTGACCTTCTATAGCGCTGTTTCATTACAGCGCTGTCGGTAACGCATTTCCATTGGAACCATGTTATAGTGACCTTCTATAGCGCTGTTTCCTATAGCGCTGTCGGTAACGCATCTCCATTGGAACCATGTTATAGTGACCTTCTATAGCGCTGTTTTGTTAAAGCGCTGTTGGTAACGCATCTCCATTGGAACCATGTTATAGTGACCTTCTATAGCGCTGTTTCCTATAGCGCTGTCGGTAACGCATCTCCATTGGAACCATGTTATAGTGACCTTCTATAGCGATGTTTCCTATAGCGCTGTCGGTAACGCATCTCCTTTGGGGCCATGTTATAGTGACCTATAGCGCTGTTTCGTACAGCGCTGTCGGTAACGCATCTCCATTGGAACCATGTTATAGTGACCTTCTATAGCGCTGTTTCCTATAGCGCTGTCGGTAACGCATCTCCATTGGAACCATGTTATAGTGACCTTCTATAGCACTGTTTCCTATAGCGCTGTCGGTAACCCATGTCCATTGGAACCATGTTATAGTGACCTTCTATAGCGCTGTTTCATTACAGCGCTGTCGGTAACGCATCTCCATTGGAACCATGTTATAGTGACCTTCTATAGCGCTGTTTCCTATAGCGCTGTCGGTAACCCATGTCCATTGGAACCATGTTATAGTGCCCTATCGCGCTGTTTCCTATAGCGCTGTTGGTAACGCATCTCCATTGAAACCATGTTATAGTGACCTTCTATAGCGCTGTTTCGTACAGCGCTGTCGGTAACGCATCTCCATTGGAACCATGTTATAGTGACATATAGCGCTGTTTCCTATAGCGCTGTCGGTAACGCATCTCCATTGGAACCATGTTATAGTGACCTTCTATAGCGCTGTTTCCTATAGCGCTGTCGGTAACGCATCTCCATTGGAACCATGTTATAGTGACCTTCTATAGCGCTGTTTCCTATAGCCCTGTCGGTAACCCATCTCCATTGGAACCATGTTATAGTGACCTTCTATAGCGATGTTTCCTATAGCGCTGTCGGTAACGCATCTCCTTTGGGGCCATGTTATAGTGACCTATAGCGCTGTTTCGTACAGCGCTGTCGGTAACGCATCTCCATTGGAACCATGTTATAGTGACCTTCTATAGCGCTGTTTCCTATAGCGCTGTCGGTAACGCATCTCCATTGGAACCATGTTATAGTGACCTTCTATAGCACTGTTTCCTATAGCGCTGTCGGTAACCCATGTCCATTGGAACCATGTTATAGTGACCTTCTATAGCGCTGTTTCATTACAGCGCTGTCGGTAACGCATCTCCATTGGAACCATGTTATAGTGACCTTCTATAGCGCTGTTTCCTATAGCGCTGTCGGTAACCCATGTCCATTGGAACCATGTTATAGTGCCCTATCGCGCTGTTTCCTATAGCGCTGTTGGTAACGCATCTCCATTGAAACCATGTTATAGTGACCTTCTATAGCGCTGTTTCGTACAGCGCTGTCGGTAACGCATCTCCATTGGAACCATGTTATAGTGACATATAGCGCTGTTTCCTATAGCGCTGTCGGTAACGCATCTCCATTGGAACCATGTTATAGTGACCTTCTATAGCGCTGTTTCCTATAGCGCTGTCGGTAACGCATCTCCATTGGAACCATGTTATAGTGACCTTCTATAGCGCTGTTTCCTATAGCGCTGTCGGTAACGCATCTCCATTGGAACCATGTTATAGTGACCTATAGCGCTGTTTCCTATAGCGCTGTCGGTAACGCATCTCCATTGGAACCATGTTATAGTGACATATAGCGCTGTTTCCTATAGCGCTGTCGGTAACGCATCTCCATTGGAACCATGTTATAGTGACCTTCTATAGCGCTGTTTCCTATAGCGCTGTCGGTAACGCATCTCCATTGGAACCATGTTATAGTGACCTTCTATAGCACTGTTTCCTATAGCGCTGTCGGTAACCCATGTCCATTGGAACCATGTTATAGTGACCTTCTATAGCGCTGTTTCATTACAGCGCTGTCGGTAACGCATCTCCATTGGAACCATGTTATAGTGACCTTCTATAGCGCTGTTTCCTATAGCGCTGTCGGTAACCCATGTCCATTGGAACCATGTTATAGTGCCCTATCGCGCTGTTTCCTATAGCGCTGTTGGTAACGCATCTCCATTGAAACCATGTTATAGTGACCTTCTATAGCGCTGTTTCGTACAGCGCTGTCGGTAACGCATCTCCATTGGAACCATGTTATAGTGACATATAGCGCTGTTTCCTATAGCGCTGTCGGTAACGCATCTCCATTGGAACCATGTTATAGTGACCTTCTATAGCGCTGTTTCCTATAGCGCTGTCGGTAACGCATCTCCATTGGAACCATGTTATAGTGACCTTCTATAGCGCTGTTTCCTATAGCGCTGTCGGTAACGCATCTCCATTGGAACCATGTTATAGTGACCTATAGCGCTGTTTCCTATAGCGCTGTCGGTAACGCATCTCCATTGGAACCATGTTATAGTGACATATAGCGCTGTTTCCTATAGCGCTGTCGGTAACGCATCTCCATTGGAACCATGTTATAGTGACCTTCTATAGCGCTGTTTCCTATAGCGCTGTCGGTAACGCATCTTCCTTCACATCACTGCCTGCAGCTTCAAGTTGTCTTCTTATCCGTGCAACCTTTTTCTTACTTCTACGCTGGCCACTCTTTGGGCCCAGCTCAGATGCAGTATCCTTCTGAAGCGATACAAATCGAATGTCAATATCTTATATTTGTCAGTTTGTTTTCAATGTCCAAGTATCGCAGGCATACAAAGCTGTACTGAGCACGCATCTCCATTGGGGCCATGTTATAGTGACCTACTATAGCGCTGTTTCGTACAACGTTCCATTTACCAAGGATGCATCCCGAGCGCTTTCGGAGGAAGCCACTGGAGCTATGCACTTTTAAATCATCATCGAGATTGATAACTAATTTCTTAAGAACTGCTTATTGTTGTGTTTAGTTTGTTATCCTTCCCCCGCACCTCTGATTATAATGGTTGGCTACGTAAGGTTGCAAAAGACGTTCAAAATACATGCATACAGTGAGGGAAAAAAAGTATTTGATCCCCTGCTGATTTTGTACGTTTGCCCACTGACGGAGAAATGATCAGTCTATAATTTTAATGGTAGGTTTATTTGAACAGTGAGAGACAGAATAACAACAACAAAATCCAGAAAAACGCATGTCAAAAAATGTTATAAATTGATTTGCATTTTAATGAGGGAAATAAGTATTTGACCCCCTCTCAATCAGCAAGATTTCTGGCTCCCAGGTGTCTTTTACACAGGTGACGAGCTGAGATTAGGAGCACACTGTTAAAGGGAGTGTTCGTCTGGAGGAAGCTCAATGGGGATGTGTCGCCCACCCTGGCGGGGTGGGGGGAGGGGGGCGCCTTGACGGGAAAGCGGTGGCGGTGGCCGCGATGGAAAAGAAACCCGGCAAACAGAACTCGACGCTGGGACGTGCCAGAATCTGCGGCGTTTAGACTGCTAGCAGGAGGAAGAGGAGGTGGAGGAGGTGGAGGGGGAAGAGGAGGAGGTGGAGGGGGAATCTAATGAGCTGTGAAGCTCTTTGTCACACATTGTCCAGTAGGGGCACGGCATATCTATGGGTCTCCATGGGTCTCTGTTGTATCTCTATGTATCTCTATTGTAGCTCTCTGTATCTCTATGTATCTCTATGTATCTATGTAGCTCTATGTATCTCTATGTATCTCTATGTAGCTCTATGTATCTCTATGTAGCTCTATGTATCTCTATTTATCTCTATGTAGCTCTCTATCTCTATGTATCTCTACGTATCTCTATTATAGCTCTATGTATCTCTATGTAGCTCTATGTATCTCTATGTATCTTTATGTATCTCTATTGCAGCTCTATGTATCTCTATGTAGCTCTCTGTATCTCTATGTATCTCTATATAACTCTATGTATCTCTATGTAGCTCTATGTAGCTCTATGTACAGTGAGGGAAAAAAGTATTTGATCCCCTGCTGATTTTGTACGTTTGCCCACTGACAAAGAAATTATCAGTCTATAATTTTAATGGTAAGTTTATTTGAACAGTGAGAAAATAACAACAAAAAAATCCAGAAAAACGCATGTCAAAAATGTTATAAATTGATTGGCATTTTAATTAGGGAAATAAGTATTTGACCCCCTCTCAATCAGAAAGATTTCTGGCTCCCAGGTGTCTTTTATATAGGTAATGAGCTGAGATTAGGAGCACACTCTTAAAGGGAGTGCTCCTAATCTCAGCTTGTTACCTGTATAAAAGACACCTGTCCACAGAAGCCATCAATCAATCAGATTCCAAACTCTCCACCATGGCCAAGACCAAAGAGCTCTCCAAGGATGTCAGGGACAAGATTGTAGACCTACACAAGGCTGGAATGGGCTACAAGACCATTGCCAAGCAACTTAATGACTTGGAGAAGATCTGCAAAGAGGAGTGGGACAAAATCCCTCCTGAGATGTGTGCAAACCTGGTGGCCAACTACAAGAAACGTCTGACCTCTGATTGCCAACAAGGGTTTTGCCACCAAGTACTAAGTCATGTTTTGCAGAGGGGTCAAATACTTATTTCCCTCATTAAAATGCAAATCAATTTATAACATTTTTGACATGCGTTTTTCTGGATTTTGTTGTTGTTATTCTGTCTCTCACTGTTGAAATAAACCTACCATTAAAATTATAGACTGATGATTTCTTTGTCAGTGGGCAAACGTACAAAATCAGCAGGGGATCAAATACTTTTTTCCCTCACTGTACTACAGTATACACTACACTACTATATGCTACATTATACCATTATACACATACATACTACTATACACTACACTACTACACACTACTACTACACACTATATACACTATTCCACTTTACATACATTATACTACACACTATACCACTACACTGCTACACACTATACACGACGCTACTATAAAAATACACTACTCTACAATACACTTTGCACTACACTCCTATACACTACGCTACTATACAATACACTACTGTACAATACACTCCTGTACACTACATCATACTACTGTGTTTAGTTTGTTTTCCTTCCCCCACACCTCTGATTAGCGTCGGTTGGCTACGTACAGTGGTGCCAAAGAAGTTCAACGTACAACGTACACACAGAGGACTGCAGAGCTTGGAGAGAGAGAATTTGGTGGCTGCCTCTCTTGCGTCTCCGAGTTGCTCGCGTTCTCATACCGAGAGAGCGAGAAGCGAGCCAACTCTGCATTGCAAGCTGATGCTGCGCGAGTCGCCGCTGCAATTATCTCGAAACGTCGTTTTGTGTTTCGTTTTGTTCTCGTTACAGACTGCGGGGAGTGCAGGAGGAAGCCATCAGAGTGAGTTTTATTCACGTGTCGTTCACCAATGCTGGTAAGCTGCCAGATGTTTATAGCTAGGGACCGATTTCGACGTTAAGTATCTCATCAGCAGCAGAGCCAGGCTCTGCTTGAACCAGTGCTGGTGAACTGCCAAATGTTTATAGGCACGGGCCGGTTTCGACATTCAGTGTCTCATCAGCAGTAGAATCCCCTGTATCTCTCTGTGTGTGTATATGTATATTTGTGTGCGTGTTTGTCTGTGTATCTCTGTATCTATGTCAGTGTGTGTATCTCTGTATATCTCTCTGTGCTTATCTCATCCTCTTTATCTGTGTGTATGTGTGTGTAATGACCAACACGCTGTTCTGGCATCGGCGCATCCACACAATATCATGGATGCACGCCAGGTCCAAGCAAGATAATCTGCTGGACTATATAGTGACGGAACAGCAGATGCAGGCCCATGTCCTTGACACCAGGACCCACCATGGAGCTGATCTGCCCACTGACCATTGGCTTGTCATCTGTTAGATGTGCCTGCCATTCTTCCACTCTGGTGGTGGGTGTCCATCTCGGACCCTCTTCAAACCCACAGTAGACCCCCCTCTTCTTGATGTTAAGTTGAAATGGGTGAGCTTCAGGAATGTGGTTCATGCAGCTGCAATGGCTGCATCCATGCTGAGTTTAACCAAGCTGGATTGTGTGAGGAGCTCACAGATTCTTGAACGATCTGGACACATTCCCATCAGTGAGTTCCTTTGGCAAGCAAGACTGTGTTGGCTGGGTCACATGGCCCACATGCCCAGCCACCACATGCCCAAGCAGCTACTGTTTGGCCGGATAGAGGGGGCTAAACGGGCACGGCACGGGCTACGGAAGAGAGGACTGATGCGCTACAGTAAGATGTGGAGCTGAGTGGGCTTGCAGATGACCGGTACCAGCACTGTTAAGATCGGATTCTGTGGAGGAGGCTCATGAAGGACGCTGCTACTGAGCAGTTGGAGGCAGTTGCCCTCCAGCAACAACGGAGAGGAGCGGCGATCACAACAACGAGCGGAGCGCCAGGTGGCTACAGCGCAGCAAGTTGGCAAGCAGGGGACACAGGTGGTGCAGCTGCCACTCATCTCTGTCAGTCAACGCATGGCACCTGGGTCTGTCTTGTGACATGTCAGCAAGCCTTCGACACTTCACATGGTCTCAGAGTGCACATAGCCTGGCACAAGCGTCGTGGTGACGTCACTTAGTGGCGAATGGCGGTTGTTGTTGTTGTTGTTGTTGTGTATATGTATCTATCTCTGTGTGTGTGAATATCTATGTATCTGTGTGTGTATCTCTATCTATCTCTGTGTGTGTGAATATCTATGTATCTATACTCTTTGGTTCTATTCGGTAAAGTCACGTAGGTAAAAAATAAAACAACAAAAATCATGACGTTTCGGCCACAACACAAGCGGCCTTCATCAGGTGAAGGGGCCAGACTGTCTCGAGGACAGCGCTGGAGTGAACACAGCTAAGCTCAGACCGCGATCTTTAAGCTGTGTGAGAGAAATTAAGGTGCCTTGACAAAGGAATTAGCATAAAAATTAGCATTTAATTGGCCGACTTAGCATGATGAACGGTGTAGAGGTGGTGTACATGCGGGTGAACATGCCGGTTGGCGAGGGGGGGAGGGGGAGTTTACCTATTGCTAATTTTTATGCTAATTCCTTTGTCAAGGCACCTTAATTTCTCTCACACAGCTTAAAGGTCACGGTCTGAGCTTGGCTGTGTTTCACTCAAGCGCTGTCCTCGAGAGAGTCTGGCCCCTTCACCTGATGAAGGCCACTTGTGTTGTGGCCGAAACGTCGTGATTATTTTTTATTTTTTACCTACGTGACTTTACCGAATAGAACCAAAGAGTATGGATCCTTGCAGTCACGAAAGCTTCAAATCTAGAATCTATGTATCTCTCTCTGTAGGTTTGTTGCTCTGGCTGCTGGAAGAGCTCTCCGAGAGAAGGAGAGGGAGCGGCGTTCGCGATGAGGAGACGCAGACCAGCCCCGAGGAGCGAGCGTGGGGCGAAACACTCGGTATTCACCAAGACACTCGCTACTGACCAAAACACTCACCAAATTGCTTTCTCACTCACCAAAACACTTGCTACTCACCAAAACACTCACCAAATTGATTTCTCACTCACCAAAACACTCGCTCGCCGATGTGCCGTGGGCTGACTGCTGTGCCAGACGAGGTACACCAGGTCACTCACCACTCCCACACACGCTCACCCACCACTTCCCACACACGCTCACCTGCCAGTCGAAAGACAAAGATCCCCCGTGTAGCCTTAACAGACTGTTGGAGCAAGTGGTGTTAGTGAGTAGCACCTATATATCTCCGTGTCTCTGTGTGTGCCTGTTTCTCTATCTCTCTGTCTATCTATCTCCATGGCTATCTCCGTGTCTCTCTGTGTTTCCATCTCCATGGGTCTGTGTCTACCTCCGTGTATGTCTCCTTACCTATCTCTCCATGTCTATCTCTCCGTGTTTCTCTGTGTTACTGTCCCCAGGGGAGAGGCTGCGCTGCATTGACCGTGAGTTTTCGGCGTCTGTCCCGGACCCCAAGGGAGCAGCCGGATCTGCCCTCCACCGGCTGGAGCTGCAGGTGGAGCGGAGAGTCCGGGAGGAGGTGGACACCAGGGTGAGGCACTCTCTGTGTGTCTGTGTGAGCAATGCCATGGGGGGGATGGCCAATTTAAATTTGCTATTCCCCTCATGGCGTTTGTAGCCACCACAGTGGCCAAAGGCGGCTCTGGACGGGTGCCAGGGGTTGGAAACCCCTCCACCTTCAACCTAAGTACCACTAAATTACGTGGAAAAAAATCTAACTAAGCTTGTGACGGAGGCTCCAGGGGGATAGGCATCTGTGACGTCTCCTGGCCAAACCCCATTTGGCGGAGCCAGGAGGCTGAACCCGCACCCTCAGGGTTCCTCCAGAAACAGCAAAAAACCACTGCGAGTGGCCACGTGGAATGTTCGAATGCTTACTGCGGAGGAGAGACTGCCACTCCTCTTTCGGGAGCCGGACCGGTACCGCCTGGATCTCTGGCATTCAGGAGGTCCGGTGGACCGGCTCTGGCTCCTACCACCATGAGGGGTGGACAGTCCTCTACTCAGAGCAGAAAACTGCTAAACAACAGGGAGTGGCTCTTCTTCTGAACACAATAATGAAGGGGGCGTGGGAGTGTCACGGTGAGGTGTGGGAAGCTGTGGAAAGCCCCAGTCTACTGTGGGCTTGCCTCTCCATCAACGGGAGGCGAGGAATGGTGGTGGTTGCTTACGCCGCCACCTAAGATGAACATCAGTGGAGGGATGCAGGCAAGGCCAATGAGTCAGATGCCTTCTATGATTTCCTGTCACAGGTGCTAGTTGAAGTGGCCTCCCGGGATAGAGTCATCCTGTTGGGTGACTTTAATGCCCGATTTGGTCATGATGCTGGCACCTGGGCCGGAGTGATTGTAAGGCATGGGCCAGATAAGCGCAATAACAACGGTAGGAGGCTGCTAGACTTTTGCTCAGCCCATTTTCTTGTAATTACCAACACCGTGTTCTGGGATTGGCAATGCACGCCGGGACCAAGCAAGAATATCTGCTGGCCTATATAGTGACAGGACAGCAGATGCGGGCCCATGTCCTTAATACCAGGACCTACTGTGGAGCTGATCTGCCCACTGACCATCGGCTTGTCGTCTGTAAGATGCGCTTGCCATTCCTCCACTCCAGTGGTGGGTGTCCATCTAGGACTCCATTCAAACCCACAGCGGCCTGGTCTTAGCTAGCTGATGCAAGTTGCAAGCCAGAATTTCATAATCACATGCAGCTGGGGTTGGTTTAGAACTGCGGCTCATGCAGCTGCAGTGGCTGCTTTTGGTGCACGTTTCGAACCTGCCCAGAGACCCTGGGCGACGGAGGAGGAGAAAACGTGACAGGCTCACTTCCACCATTTAGAGCATCCCACATCGGAGAATGAGAGGAGGCTTACCGCAGCCTTCGCTTGGAGGTTCTGAGAGCCACATCAATCACCATTCTTAGGGCAAAGAAGTGATCCGATCTCCGACTTCGAGGAACAATTTTGCAGATTTGCTGAGCATTTCTGTGAGGTCTTGGGGGAGGGGAATCCCTCAGCCCAGAAAACATTGTTGGGCAAAGTGGGGATGACCCTGCTGAAGCTACGGTGCCTCAAATATTGGAAAAAGTCGTCACACGCTGTGAGTGGATGGCTAAAGTGCCATCTATTGAGGAAGTACGGAAGGAGTGTTCTCTCTATCTCTGTATCTATCTCTGTATCTCTATTTATCTTTTTCCCTGTATGTCTCTGTGTGCATCCCAGGTGCGAGAGTTCACGGAGCGCTCGCTGTCCGAGGCGGTGCAGAGAGAGCGCCGGAGTGATGGGGAGCAGCGGGCTGAGTGGCTGAGCGGGGCCGAACGCGACGCTCGGAGGCAGCGCGAGGAGCTGGAGCGGAGCCACGCGGCCGCGTCCAAGCTGTGGCGCCAAACCCAGGAGGTTGTGACGCACGCAGCACTCGGCACACAGACTGACACACACAGACTGACACACACAGACAGACACAGAGGCAAAGCTCCCCCGTGTAGCGCTGTAACAGTATAGGGACAAGTGCCATTAGCAGTGAGTAGCTAACGCAGACACGTGGATATGTGCGTAGACAAAGGCATGCAGAGACACATAATCACGCGCATCCAAAGGTCCCCGTGTAGCCCTCTAGCGGCTTGGAGGGGCAAGTGCCGTTCATAGCGAGTAGCACTGAACACAGACTGATACGTGCGACGGCACATCAGTGACTGGCTGAGGCGCCATCTGTTGAGGAAGTGCGGAGGGCGATCCGAAGCTTGAAACCATGTGAAGTGCTGGGGAGAGGTGACCCCTCAGGTGAACTGCTCAGGCAGGGTGGCGTCTGTGTACAGACTGCCCTACTTGACGTCATCACAACCATCTGGACCACTAGACGGGTTCCACAGCATTGGAAGGATGCCCTGGTAGTCCCCGTTTTTAAAAACGGGCACCGCACTGATGGCTACGATTGGTCAACCATTTTATGTATGCGGATAATCTGGTGGTTGCTACTCACTTTGAGAAGGAGTTGGAGGTTATGTTGCTGAACCTGGAGCATGCCACTAAGAGGTTGGGCCTTACCCCCAGCCGGGTTCAAGCAAGAACATCTGCAAAATAATCTAAACTCGCCACACAGAGACCTATAGACTCATCACATACAGACCCATAGACTCATCACACAGAGACCTACAGACTCATCACACAGAGACCCACAGATTAATCACACAGAGACCCACAGACTCATCACACAGAGACCCACAGACTCATCACACAGAGACCCATAGACTCATCACACAGAGACCTACAGACTCATCACACAGAGACACACAGATTCATCACACAGAGACCCACAGACTCATCACACAGAGACCTATAGACTCATCACATACAGACCCATAGACTCATCACACAGAGACCCACAGACTCATCACACAGAGACCCACAGATTAATCACACAGAGACCCACAGACTCATCACACAGAGACCCATAGACTCATCACACAGAGACCTACAGACTCATCACACAGAGACACACAGATTCATCACACAGAGACCCACAGACTCATCACACAGAGACCTATAGACTCATCACATACAGACCCATAGACTCATCACACAGAGATCCACAGACTCATCACACAGAGACCCACAGACTCATCACACAGAGACCCATAGACTCATCACACAGAGACCCATAGACTTATCACACAGAGATCCACAGACTCATCACATACAGACCCATAGACGCACCACACAGAGACCCACAGACTCATCACACAGAGACCCATAGACTCATCACACAGAGACCCATAGACTCATCACACAGAGACCCACAGACTCATCACATACAGACCCATAGACGCACCACACAGAGACCCACAGACTTATCACACAGAGACCCATAGACGCACCACACAGAGACCCACTGACTCATCACACAGAGACCCATAGACGCACCACACAGAGACCCACAGACTCATCACACAGAAATCCATATTGCATGTGTGTTGCGCGTGTGTTGCGCGTGTTGTACGTCTGTTGCACATTTGTTGCGTGTGGTCAGGATGATGAGCGAGCGCTGTACCAGGAGAGGCAGACGCTGCTGAGAGAGGCCGAGGCTCTGAGGGTGCGGGAGGCCCAGCACAAATTCCACGTGCAGTCCACTGAAGCGTGAGTGAGGTGGTGGTGCGTGAGTGGATGAGTGAGTGAGTAAACAGTAACTTGTAGTGCCACACCTATCACCATCCTCAGGGGAAAGAAAGGTGATGCGATCTCCGATCCCCAGGAACAGCTTTATAGGTTTGCCGAGCATTTCTGTGAGGTCTTAGAGGAGGGGAAACCCTCCAGCCCAGACAACATCATGGGGCATAGTGGGGATGACCCTGCTGGGGCTGCGGTGCCTCAAATATTGGAAGAAGTTGTCATCCCCTGTGAGTGGCTGTCTGAGGTGCCATCTGTTGAGAAAGCACGTAAGGCGATCTGAGACCAGGAAAAGTGCCAGCAGGAGATGGTCTTCCAAGTGAACTGCTCAAGGAGGATGGCGTTTGTGTGCAGACTGCCCTATATGACATCATAATGACAGTCTGGACCACTGGACGGGTTCCGCAAGATTGGAAGGATACACTGAACGCAAACACTCTAAACGCGTGATGTCGATTATAAATGTGGGGGGGGGGGAAACCAGAGGACCCGGAGAAAAATCCACACAGCCGCGTGGAGAGAGAGACACGTAAACTCCAAGTATACAGGCGGCAGGGTTGGGATCGAACCCACGACCTCCCACATA